TGCTTCTTAATGAAATTATTATACCTGAGCACAAAGATGAAGAAATAGAGCCAATTACCTTAGTGCATCTGACAAGCCACCTTCAATGGACACTGAGCTCCCTAATATGGAGCCATTTTTATCCCAAGGAATAATAATATGAGGACATAGAAGAGATGGCTGAGAAAATTCCATCCTTTCTAGAAGGGCTTGCATAATATTAACAGGAAAGTCTCCCCATAGCTGAGAAAGAATGTGGGACAGATACGTGGGTTTTTCTGCTTTCCTTTTCCTTGGCTGAATTTACAGAAGAGCTCCTACCCCTAATCTCATGTGCTGTTGAGAAACTACAAGGGGTTTCCCAAAACTTGAAGCATCATCCGTGGCTGCAAAAAGCTTTTGAGAGTTTAGTCCCAAAGTTTAAGCTACATGCCATGGAAGTCTCGTTCAGCCCCTGGGTGCCACCAGGTGACAACACACCAAAGTGTTCAGACATCACTGGGAATAGGAACAAGGTGCAAGATATACCAGAGAGTTCAATGTTTACTGAAAGTTTCAACTTGCTCCCTCCTAGGAAATAATCATTTCTCTAGATCTATTGACACTATTGAGATTTTGGACTAGACAAGTCTTCGTTGTGTGTGTGTGGTGGGGGGGGGGCTGTCCTGTCTTCTATCCCCTAGATGCCAGTAGCATTCCCCCAGCTGGGACAACTGAAAATTTCTCCAGACATTGCCGTCTAGGGGTGAAGTCAAAATTGCCCCCCAACTTGAGAAACTCTACTATACACTCTTTGAGCTCTTTGAACATAGGGAGCATATCTGATTCATCTTTATAACCCTGTGTCTAACACAGGGGAAATGCTGGACAGAGAGTAAATGTTCAATGAAGTTTGACTGCAATTATGTCAGGGTAGAGAAGCAAACATGACTTAAGGTTGGAAGTGACTTCTTTTACTCTTCATCTGAAAGAAGAAAAGGATGCGTTTCTCTTCAACCATTCTGGCCACTTTCATAGAAAGACCGACATGAAAGATCTCTCCTGTTTATTTAAATTAAAACACCACTGTCCCTGTCCCTGAGAAGTCAGCTCAATAAAGACAGAGCAGGGGGTGTTGGGACATAAGGAAGGGGAAAAAGCACACAGACAATTTAATTGTGAGGAAGTTAAAAAAAATCTTTGCCAAGTAATGAAATTATTAATTGCAATTCCTGTCAGTTTTTGTGACAGCAATGTGAATCGATGGACAGTCTGTTCAGCAGTATTTCTGGAAGGAATTGTACATTTTAAAAATGAGGCATTGCTGGAGGAATACTGTGTGTGTGAGGATTTGCAGAAGTGTACACCCCTGTAACTTCACGGGGCTGTAACAGGGAAGCTGCCGTACCTTGAGACCAGATGTAGCTTATGGATCAAAAGGGCATCACGTTCATCCATGTCATTGTCCTCTGAAAGATCAAACTCTCATTATACGCCTGATGCAGTATCTTCTATGTGAGGCAGTTTACATATTTCTCTATTTAAAAATATAGGCAGCTACTTCCTTCTTCCTACAAATGCTCTTATCAGGTTTGAATTGCAGAGATCTATTTTGAGATGAACACATTGAACAAAACCTTCATCTGTGTGTGCGTGTGTCTGTGTGTGTGTGTGTTTATTTCCCAACATGGCGGTAGGAGCTTATGCCCGCTATCTGCATAAGTCTTTTGTGTATTGCTAATGGAGTGCTGGAATTGTAGCAGCCCTGAGCAGGGAATACATGTGAGCAACAATATGCTGAGAGACCCCTCGGTGGAATCTAATCTGTTCCAGCTCATGCACTCCTCAGAAACTATTTAACTTTCATTAAACTGTGTTTGATATCAGCTAAATAGGATGCATACGGCTCCAATATAGCTCATATGGTCGCATTCATTCGATCACAGCAGTGCTTTTTTCTTATATTTCCCCCCACTTGTGTCAGTACCCAGTATAGCTGGGTAAATAGGAGACCTTTGAAGATGTAGTTAGTACTCAGATTTCTTTATTCTTTTGTGCTGGTTTCTTAGTGTTGAAACAGTGATTCATGTATGTCGCAGACAGCCTCCATTAATTTCATGTAATGTGGCTTTTATCTCGTAGCTGGGACAACTATCTTCAGCATTCTGTCGCTCTAGCATCCCCAGCTCTGTCCCAAGTCCCCTTTGCATTTCCCATCTGCCTCCAGGTCCCCAACACTCTCCATAGCTCCTCTTTCCTCATGGAAAATCATGTTCATTTCCAGCCACTTTTTCTTTCTGGTTGTTTAGCATAAGGACAAGTGAATAAACAGGTTAAAATAAGTAGGAAAAAGGAATGAGGGGTGAGATTTTCAGTCTGGGTAACCTTTCTGTCTGAAGGGAAGAAAGAAAAGCTACCAGGATAAAAAAACCCATCCAAGCAGGAGAACAGTTTATGCCTCATCCCCCCTACACACACACACACACACACACACACACACACACACACACACATTTTCTCTCTCTCTCTCTCTCTCTCTCTCTCTCTCTCTCTCTCTCTCTCAATCTATTCAAAGGACGCTAATTTGTTTATGAATACAGCACAGTAGGAATACGCAGTTTCCCAGTTTCCGGGGAGGAAAGGGCCAGTGGATTTACAAACTGGAGCTGTTGAAAAGTTTTAATGATCAAGTATACATAACACACACACACACACACACACACACACACACACAGGGTGGGGGGACTGGGCATTTTACCAATATGCTATCAGCCAAGTAAACATCATTATTTATTTGCAAAACATCTTTTCTCTTTAAAAATGAGAAAGTGTTAAGAATTTCACCTTTAAAAATATTAAGGGGACATGGATATCTCTATGTTATCCTCACTGATATTTTTTCAATTATGTTTTATTAAGTCCAAAGGAATAATCACAACTTTTTTTAGATCACTTAAGAGAAACTACATGGGGTCTTTGGTACAGGGAACCCAATTATTTAGGATATTATTTTGTGAACCTTTTTCATTTTATTAGTATACCAGAGGGTTTTCACATTCTCAAGGAGAATCCAGCTATTATTGCTTTTTTGGAAGAAATGTCTCACTGGGGCAATTAATTCTATACATTAACACCAGTCACAGTTGTGCTGTATATTATTAAAATTATAAAGGCAAAACCCCACATTTTATCATTCAGTTCAGAAAGCGGTCATTTATATGTGTGTGTATTAGAGAATAAGCTGCTCCATGTGTAGCCCTCACTGTATAAGAACTTTGCAAAGCCCAGTACTGATCTGGGTATGTTCTTTCTACAAACACTGACCCTTTGCAGCCAAGTAAAATGGGGCTGAGAAAGGTGAACGTGCAGGCAGCTCCGGAGCCTGCCTCTGTCTGGTCTGTCTCTGCCACAGTTGAGGGATGTTACCCATTTAACTTTGTTGATGAGCACATGTAATTAAGATGCTGTGCCTTAATGTTTGATGCTGGGACTTGAAAGGGTGATTTAAAAAATTTATTTAGATAAGCATATTGACATTTTTAGTATATATTATTAATCTTATTAATAGTATTAACAAAGGCTAATTGAAAATGCATCATCTATAATTATATTAGTCTGCATTTTCGTACATTTTTGTCAGAGTAAACTAGAAAGGAGTAATTAATGTGCCACTGTTATTTACCCCTGTTTGTATTAAAGCTGGTGTTACACAATGTTAGAGATGAATATAGCCTGATTTCACTGAATACCACGGAGCACAGCATTCAGAAGCAGTAAAATAAGCAGCTGTGTTTTCCTGTACTCGAACCTAAAAATAAAATCAACTTCAGGACTGCAGGATAGGTGCGCAGGAGAGGAAGACAGGAGACTACGCTCGCCCGTGCTGCTGCTCTAGGCTGCCCTTTTCCTCTCCGCAGTGGTAGGCTCAGGGATCCATGACCGCTGAGAATGGAGAGTCCTTGCATCTTATCAGTTGAAGAAATAAATATAGAAAAGCATGCCTCAATGCTTTTGATCCTGGAGGTCATCGATGCTGGTTCCATTGGGACAGGGCAGGGAAGATGATTTTACATTCATCAAGGATAAATCCAGGACTAATGTTGAACCATCGTAACACGTTGGCTCAGTCTTTACCGGTGAAAAGAGAAAACTATAACAGTGGTCTAAAGGATATCAGTCTCAAAAAAATCAAATTCCCAGAGTTAGATCTTTGACCCTTGCAAGGCCCATACCCTGCTCCTGTTCCCCCTACACACCTTCGTACAACACGAACACACACAGGTGTTTCCAAGCTACACGAGAAAACAGCCCCTTCTGGCTACCATGTACAAAAAGCAACCAAACAAAAAACCCTAAAAGCAAGCAAGCAGGGAAGACTTAAGTTAATGTGCAATTAACCACTTTAAAGTTTTCTCCCACCCTGGCTTTTATGCTTGGCTTTCTGAGGTCAGCCATTTCCTGAGGCAGGCAGGGCGGGCACAGAACGGGGGTGTGAGATGGTGGTGTGTGGGGATGGCGATGAATGGCACATCTTTTAATCAGGTAGAGCCAAGACTGTGATGGCTGGGATTCCAAATCTGGGCTCTGGGCTTTCTCCTGAGCTCTAATAAGAAGCGTGGCATATTGGTTGCACTGGCTGCCAAGTGCTATGTCCGTGCCCTCTCCGCAGTGGCCAACCACAAACATGCTAGCTAGAAGCTCTCAGGGGGCCCCGTGTGTGCTGTTCCTACACGGCTAACATATGTATCGACACCTGAAAGCTACAGCCTGCCACGTCGCCAGGACCCCACTCGCCTACCTTTGCTCCTTGGTCACCAAGGGTTAATTTTCTAATGGCTGCCTTGCTGCTGAAGCTGGCCAAGTTTCTCATCGCCTGCAGAGCACCACAAGCTGTGATTTGGAGCCAGAAAACACCATTAATTTTCTAAATAGGAAGGATCACATATGTAAACTGTCTGGTTCTGTAACGAGTCGGGCAGGTAGAAGATGAAGGAGGAGGAAGTGAATTTTTCCAGACACAGAGGCCAAACAGCCCAGGCCAACGGGCAGCACAGTGTGCAGGGCTTTGGGGGCTGTGAGGGGGCCAGGGGGGAACAAGGAATTTCCCTCCCGTCTTTAAATCGGTTTCACCACCAACCTTCAGTGTTTCTACAAAAGGTCAGGTTGGTGATTTATTGGGCAGCGTCGGGAATTTTTACATTAGACTTCACAAGAAACTTATTTGTAAATGGAAGGAAAGATTAAGCAAAGTGCACCAGCAAAGAGACCACATAGGGGCTCATGAGTACAAGCTAGTATGGTTAACAGGTCCCAGGTCTTCAGAGGACCAAGAATCAAAAACTCCCCCTATGGAAATTATTTAGGTAGCAACTTACCTGGATGTTGCAGACACTTGAAAAAATGCATTTTTGCAGATTTTGCAAATCTACCTCCCACCCCAAAAAAGACACAAAATCCTCCATTTGGGATTTACATGTATGCCTCTGTGTGTGTGTGTGTGTGGGTGGGTGGGTGTTTACGTGCAGGGGGGTGGGTGGCGGGAGAGAAAAGAGGGAGGGAGAGAAAGGGGATAAGCATAAAAAAGGAGTGATAAAAATGCCTTCTTGAGTTTTAAGATTCATTTTATCTGCCATCTATATATATCCCTTTCCAAAGTAATTATCACTGTTACCTGAGATACCAGAATAGTTCCAGACCTCCAACTACGTGGTGGGCCTGAACAGAACACGAGAACGTTTTTCTGTCTTATGCTCTCCAGAATACCAGCACAGAACTGCCCTCTTTCTGGGACCTTCTATCTAAACGTCTGGTTAAAGAAGAACCTTCTAACTTCTAACATTCTGGTTCCATTCTACAACTCTTAAAAAAAAAAAAAAACACAAAAAACCTCTAGCTAATGTTAATTTCTTCGTTCCCTCTTACCGCTCTTTTGGCAAAAAATGAAAATTGGGGGCAGTAAATAAATCTGGGACAGCTTTTTTGCTGCCTCATAGACGTAGAGCTGGATGTTGCTCCTTAATTCATGTCCCAGGAGAACTCCTCGCACAGCAGTGACTCAGCAGACTAGGGTATTCCTGAAGAAAATAAAAGGGAGGCAAAGAAATTCAGGTAGGTTCCTGGAGTCCCAAAGTGTAAGTGAAGGAGAAATGGCATAAATGGCTGTGTGATCTCATTTATGTTTGTCTGAAAGACAGGTAAGATACTTCCAAGTTTTCAGAACAAAATGACCCTAAGGAGGACATGTTCAACTCCAGGGTTTTGCCATGCCAAAGTACCACAAACTGGGTGGCTTAGCCAACAGAAATTTACTGTCCTACATGGTTCTGGCGGCTACAAGTCTGATAGGAAGGTGTCGGCAAGGTTGGTTCTTTCGGAGGTCTCTGAGGGAAGAGTCTGCTCCAGACCTCTCTCCTTGGCTTGGAGATGAAAATCTCCTCCCTGTCTCTCCACATGCTCTTCCCTCTATGCATATCTGTCTCCATGCCCAAATTTCCCTGTTGTATAAGGACACCAGTCATAACTGGATTAGAAACACCCCCTTCCGATAACTTCATCTTAACTAATCACATCTGCAAGTAAGGTCATATTGTGAGGTTCTGGGGGTAGGACTTCAAATCTGAATTGGAGAGGGGATATTTAACCTGAAACAGAAGGTAAGAGAGAGAACTTCCTCTAGACTTAACCAAAATTCTCATAATGTTTATCTAAGGCATATCCAAAGCAATGTTAATTTGTATTTGCTCACCCCTTTACAGACGCCTGAGTATTTTTGTTTCCAATAATTTACTCCAGTTAATTCTATCTTGATCTTGCTCATGTTCTGCATCATTCCCCCCTCTCCTGGTGGGGAAACTAAGACTTTGAGAAGTTAAGTCGTCACTAAACTGTTATCAAGTTACACTGTCACACAGTCGCAGAGCTGAGGCTTTAATTCAAGGTCTGCGTTTCCTACCCCCGTGCCTGCCCACTGGTCTACACTGCCTGCTTTGTATTAACACCCTTCACCACCAACCATATAGAGTCCTCCCACTAAATCACCAAAGAAAGTGCTCGGCTTAACTCTACAGTTTCTCTACCTTATTTCCTCCAAGCGGTTGGGGGAGGGGAGACTTAGTTCCCATATTATTTTTTGTTCAAATAAATCTTACACTGTTCCATTCTGTGCGGGACCAAAATAGGCCTGAATCCACAAAACTCCATCTTACAGTTTTACTTACAGATATACATGTCCCACTTTGGGAGCCTCACAGACACCAGGGCCAAGCAAATGACTCTAGAATTGGCCCAAAGTAGGCCCAAGCTGGGCGTTGATGTTGGCAATAGCCAAGCTGGGTGTAGAACAGCCATCATTTTCCAGCTAATTTTCTCTTTTTGCCTCCTCCCTTGCTCCAGGTAGAACATTGTTCATTACGAGTGCTGCAGAGCCCAGTAGAGCTCATTCTCGCCGAGATCATCTCTCTGATCTTCTGAAGCCTTTAAAAGGGAATGAGCCTTGGCCTCCTTTTTATGGGCTACATTATGACCTGGCTTCAAAGTGTGAAAAGAGGTTCCAAGATTCCCTTTGTGCGGTGGAGTCTCTTAATTGCACTTTTAAACACAGTGTAATTTTTGTAATTAACATTATGGTTTCAGAGGGCAGAGAAGCCTGCACCATGCTAATTACAAACCCGCGTCTTCAGAGTGGGGGAATTTCCAAGGCCTCTGATATTGGGGTGGAATACAGTTTTTATGAAGGATTTCAAAGATCCTCTGTGGGCTGCGTTCTGAGTCATCATTAGCATTTGATAACATAAAGAAATTTTACAACATGTGACAGATTTCCTATGTGAAGATTTTACCTGGTAACTGGAAAATTTGCATGAAGAGCTTCATTAGGTCTCCTCTCACATTACCGAAAGAGTAAGAAGTATGGAGCACTCTTTCCCGAAGATTGTTCTTAGGAGCCAAGGAATTGGTGCTTTATAATAAAATTTACAGTATATTATGAAGGGAAGTTGTAATAATCTTCAATGATGTTGAAAATCAGAGCATACGTGCCTTTTAAGGAGAGGGAGAGAATATGTATCAGAATTACCATGTAACTGAAAACCTTGCAGTAAAAGTATATCGTACTGTTCTTGGCCATATAAAAGATCTAGTCCTGCTAGGCTGCCGAGTCAAGGCAAGAGCTTCACATATATAACACCCAGCGACAATAAGGTGTAATTTCTTCACTCTGTGAAGTCTGTTCACTGAGAAAAATGATCGTCCTCTTATTGCAGGGGCAAGTTTATCTTACCTTTATTTTTCAACCCCAAGCTAGCAACCAAATTGCGTGTGTGCATGTTTGTGTAAAGATACACACACACACACACACACACACACATACACACACACACACACTTCCAGAGAAGCGGTGTGCATTCTATGCAGGGCAATCCTAGCTTCTGCAAAGAGTAACTGGCCCTTCTGAGGCTGATACTGTCAGAAATTGTACTGTGGAGTAGGGACTGAGTCCCAAAGCCATCCATTTGTTGAAATCCTTTCACTGAGCATGGATCAATTAAGCCAGTAATAGTGATAATTTCAGGAAAGCTTTCTGTCATGATGGGAACAAGAATTCATCATTATTCCATGCTGTCTTATTATTTCAACACCATACATATGCCGTTGGATGTATAGCAGTAGCTCGCAGCATTATCTCAGTGGGACGCATTTTCCTTCATGAGAGTCTTTTCCTTGGCGATTATGCAGATAATGCATAGCTTTGTAATGACATCATAAATAGAACCCAAAGTCCTAAGAAACAATTAGGGAAGTATATCAATACTTCCCTTGTAATCATAACATCATCTGACTTCCAGTGGGATGCCACGCTAGCTCCCCAAGTTCCGTAATCACGTATGAGCATTAACGCCTGCCTCACCATCTATCTTGGAGTCACAAATCCTGGCACTAGAGACAAATTAATATGCATTTTAGCCCACTGTCAAGAAGGGGAATCACACTGGGGCTTTGATCACAGAGCCCCGGGTGAGATCCAGGCAAATAAAATCCAAGCTGGTACAAGCTGAACCCTCTGTATACTGACCTCGGGCAAAACCAAGAATAGACTAAAAAATAGAAAAGCCAATATCCGCTAAAAGTGACGGACCAAAGAATCCTGGCAGCAAATTGTTACACTTTCCTCCTAATAACACTGTTTTTGCAGGTAGATTTTTATGTCAATTTTTTTCGTGGGGTTATTCTTCCCATCCAAGGTCCCCCTCCTCCCTCAGCCTAGCTGAATTCCCCTTAAAAGTAAACATGTCTTTTTCATGGGAGGGAAGGGCCACTTTCTGTAATTGGTTTGAGGCCTGTCAGTCACTTCAGCCTGCAAGGGGTGCAAACCCATGCTGCAAGCGGACCTTTAAAACCACATGGTGGATTTTACAAGTTCTGTTCACTCCTGCAGAGGGGACTGGGGCATGAGGAAGGTTCAATTATCATTCGGAATTCTTTTCCCAATTTTAGGAAGGGGACAAATCTTCTTCTCTCTTAACTCTTGTAGCTCCCAACACACAGAAATGGAAATTTTAGATAAATGATCAAACTTACATAGTATATAGCTTTTATTTTTACAAAATATTTGCTTCCAGCAGAGTGTATCCTAATTCACAAATGCAGAACTCTGTCATTAAGATCTGACCCAGCTGCATGGCATTGTCAAATGCAATAACGTATCTTTTAATAGTTTTATATCAAGTAAAGATATAACATATCATTAGTTTAAATGTATTTGCAAGCAATTACCCCCACCAGGATATTTGAGAATGCTCATGCAAAATTGATGAAATTCTGACATGCTTAAACATTGCTCATTTAGCTCAATTCTTTATGTATAGAAAAAATAGAATAAATAATTCTGCTGCCATTTGCAAACTACTGTTAGGCATTTTTATTCCATTCAGGGCTGCAGTGCTGCCTTTAAACTCTAGCCTTTGGTGATCATTTGAAAAAAAAAAAAACAGTTTCATATATGTTTAATTTTAAATAATGGACTAGATTTTTCATTCTCCTTATTATTGTTCAATGTAGTAATTTAAATATGGAGTAGATTTACTGCATGTCAGCTGCCTTTCTTTTACAAAAGGGGATAAATTATTAAATGAGCAGAGATTGTTTGACAACCAGTTTTCCCGTACTACACAAAAGAAAGGCCTATGACATTCAGCTGTCTTTTGAAAAGAATAAAGTATAAATCAATTAAGCCACTACACTGTGGATCAGAAATGCCATTCTATGGCCTGGTTTTGCTTTGCCTCTCAGGTGACTTTCAGGCAGCTCCACCACCATATGGGGAACAGAACGACAGCCAGGCCGAGGTTCTCCAGGGTCCTTTGTGGGTTTCGAAAACCGTCTTTGGCTGAAGCACACCCCACAGAAATATCAGACGGACACCAGAGCTAACAGGTTCCTTTCTGATTCTTTTTGACTATGCTAGTGAATACTATTTGCTAATGACTGATTAAGAATTTTTTTTCCTGCTTTTGGATCTTTCCTGCAATTTTTAACATGTTCATTGTGCCAGAGTAGAAAAATCGTGTGGTGAACATCTCATCACTGTCGACGCAAGCCAGGTGAGAAATTGCATTTCAATGCTTTCCTAAGCTATCCCTCAATACCATATTAGCATCTGTGTAATTAATAATACTTTGAGCTCTGTCAAAATGAAATCACTTTTATTCTTCCCCCAAAGAGAATCATCTATTAACTATGTGTGATCCCCAAATACATTTTTCTTTACTAATGTCACTAGGAACTATACTTTCTGAAGTATTTGTCTATCCAAGCCATAAAAATTGGTCAAATTATTATTTTTTTAAAATCTATCTAATCATGGCAAAAAACAGTCAGCTGGTTACATGGAGGGTCATGTAATAGGTAGTTTTAGAGTCCTGTTTCTGAGCAAAGCACTGTTATGGGAAAGATTGAAACAAAGGAAGGAGGGTAAAACAAACAGATAAAAGGGATGGTATGGTCTCCCCTCTGAAGAAAATTAGAGTCTAACTGAAGACAGAAGACCAGTTGGTTCACACAGAACAATTAGCTAGGCACACAAACCATCCATAATTGGGCTAACTGACAGAATATAATCGTAGTGGGAGGTTAGAGAAAGGAGATATCAGTAAGGACTGGAAATCTACATTTAGAAAAGCTTCATGGATGATGGGTCTCATACAATGGGAAGATTTAAATGGCTGGAAAGGGGAGGAGATTCTAGGTGAGGTGGTAAAAATTCTTTGAATACGCAAAATGTACTTTAAAAATTCTGAAACAAAAGGGTTCCTGGAGAGTGATAGGAAACTAATATAAATACATTGGATGATATCTACTTTGGGAGCAACCCAGAAGTCAGTACAAAAGAAGCATTTAGATGGGTTAGGTATGTTAAGCAATATTGAGCCACTAACTCTTCTTGAGCAAGGGGCTGCCATGAATAAAGTATCCACCTTGGGTGTTTGGCAGGATGGTCAAGAGGTGTGAAAAGAGGCAAGCAGGCCAGTTATCGGGCTGTTGGAGTAATCTAAGACTGGGTCAATAAATTCCTAGGATGTGATAGGAAAGTGAGAACAGAGATACTTTCCAAGATGACTGGTGAGCCAACAGAATATAGGGGATGGGGGTGAGGGAGGCACCAAAATGTACCGGCATATAGTGGATCAGAGTAAGCGAGAAATTAATTGATGAGGCTCCCCACAGTGGATCAATAAAAGGGCTGTTTCCTAAAGCAAATATAGGGAAAGGGAAGGAAAAAATACAACTTTTTACTATTTTGATCCTTTCAACCATTTATTTGGGCACCACACAACTTGGCAATAATGCCGCCATACCTGCACTCATTTCAGCATTAACTGCTGAACTACACAGAATCTCAGAATCCTTCTCACCACTGAATTCTGGGCAGCTACTGCAAATAAATCAGAATTAGTTTACACATACACACGCACACGTGCACACACACACACGCACACGTGCGCACGCACACACACACACAAATATTCCATGCCTAATTTAGAAGGAAATGTGGCTTGAAACCACATTTAAAACAGAAGTACACATTTTATCGTGATACAATATGTAGGAAAAGAATGAAAAACAAAGAAAAACACACCTTCTTGTACATGCACACATTCACACACACATACACACACACACACACACAATTTTACTAGCAAGTCCTCTGTAGACACAGAATACTTAAGGCCTGGGGGACTGCTTCAGTTAATTCAAGCCGATGAATGAAATTCTAGTATACTTAAAGACCGAGCCCACCAGAAAATGATGGCCGAAAGAGAAACAAAAATCCCCACCATCATATTCTGATAGCACCACCATTAGGAAAACATTCAGTGAGAATTCCAGGTGGCTTCAAGAAGCAAGCAGCTGGAGAGAAGGACCTAAAGGAAGAAAGAAAAAGGTGAGTGGAGGAAATAAGTGGGAGAAAGCTCCAGTATCTGTCTGGAGAAGAGGGGACTCTGAGGGAACTTAATAATAGCTTTCAAGTGTCTGAAGAGTTACTCTGCAGGGACTGCTGACCAGCTGTTCTCCATCTTTATTCAGGGCAGAACAAAAGGAGATGCACTAAACTGCAGGATGAAGGATTTAATTTAGACATAGAAAGAGTGCCTTGATAATAAGTGTTATTAGGCATTGCAATCAGTGCTGAGGCAGCCCTGTTCTCTGGAGGGCTTGCAAACAGGGAGACCCTTGCACAGGGCCTCGGACCCAATGGAGGTGGGCACTGCTGGAAGGTGGTAGTTTAGGCCCACTGAGCTCCCCTGTGCTCCTCCAGCCCCAGCATCTAAGACTGCACCCCATCCACCCAGGTCCCAGATCACTCAGAGCCATTCCCAGGAACAAAGAGAAAGTGGGCTGCTCCCCAGCATGTAAACTTTCAACCATGTTTAACAAGGTGCCAGGAAAAACAAGCAGCCTGAGCATGGATTCCCAAGTCTCCTGCCTTGTTAAATGCAGTTTATGGTTTGCACAAAAGTGCTCTGTCTTAATTTGCTTCTTTCCTATAAATGAAATGGGGTACATTTAGTATTCCTACGGGGCTGGTACATTGGCCAAGTTCATGTGGCCTATAGATTTAAAAAATGCCACTGCCAAGCAGGGATACCCACGCTGAGAATCCTTGGATAGGGAGAGTGAGGAGCCATAGGCCCTGGTAACTCAAGTGTGCTCCTGGCATATGCCCAGTCCTTTGTCTTCTCCCTGTCTCTGTTTCTTTGGTTGCCTTTCCTTGTAAGGTTAGGGATAGCCCTGCATTAATTGAACAAGAAATGTGCAAATCTGCATTAATTTTTAGACTGTCTTTTCCCCATGTAGTCCAAACTGAAGTTTTCTGTTTTTTACATTTAAAAGTGACAAACTACTAGTATGTTCTAGTATTTCTTAATATCATACCTTGCACTTACTGATGTTAAATGAATGACTAGGGGTTGTATTTTTCACTCCCCACAACCCATACGAAAGGTCTCCAAATGGACAAGTATTTCAACAATTTTGCTCACCTTTAAAATGAGTCATCATTCCTCCCAACATCTGAGCTGTTCTCTCATCAATGAAGAACCAGATGTGTTCGAGAGCAAAAAGAACACCCCGATATGCTGTGCAGAGCTGGGCCTGTTCTTCACTCCCCTTGAATGCTAAGGTCAATAACAGGGTCTCTCTCTTCTCTGTATTCCCCAAATTGCTTTACATAATGCTTTGGGCATAAGGCATTTCATAAATAATTGTTAAACAAAAAGAAATAAAATATACAGGACACAAGGGATGAGCCATGGTGGTTGAAGGCATGGTCTCTAGAATTAGGTTTGCTTTGATTCACATCCCAACTATGCCATTTACTGACTCTGTGGCCTGAGGCAAAAATCCTTATAACTTCTTTGTGACTCAGTTTCCTCATCTATTAAATGGGGTACCTACCTCATGGAATTGTTAGGAGGATTAACTCTGTTGATATCTATAAAGCACTTGGAATAGTATCTGACAAGTATTAAGCACCAAAGAAATGTCACATAAATAAAAGGAGGTTGGGGCTCAGGGATACACTCCCTGGCTTTGTAGCCTAGATCTACCAGCCAGTTAAAGCATTTGGCAGCTCTGCTTGATGTCATCTGTCTGTCCTTTCCCCCAAACCACTAGAAAGACAATGCATGTGGTGATGGTAAATCCCATGCAAGGTTATAAATGGTGGAAATGCTTTGAAAGCTCATATTGGAAGCAAGGACAGGAAGAGAAACAATGATTTGGTTGAGTATACGTGAAAAGATAAACCAAAATGATCAACTTTGTCATTGCTGAATATCTACAGACCTATTTGAAATTAGAATCAGTGTCTTTCATTTCCCCAGTGAGAAGGAAATGCTGTTCCTGTTGATTAGCACTGATTTCAGTGGTAGACCTAAGAGGCGGATCCAAAAGGAACACCAACAGCAACCTGAGCCTCAGCTCTCAGACCTGGTTTTGAGATACACATTGCAGCATTGGCAAGTAAAAGGCACACATGCTTGCATCTACTCTCTCTGTGCAGACATGGTCCTCTTTCTCATTGGGCTTAAAACCTCTCCTTGTGCAACTCAAAGCTGAAGGCAGACCCTGCCCCTCAAATGGACTTGAAACAGAGAGGAAATAAAGCAAAGGGTTCAAAGCTTTGTTTCCAGACCCACAAAGTAATGTGGCAGTCCTTCTCAGATACCAAACAGGCCCATGTCTAAGGAATAATAACCATGTAAACCTTCCAGACATCCAAGGCAGGAAATTCTGCCCCAATCTCATTGCCTGCTTATTAGGGAATATTTTCTTCAGATGTAAATACTTCTATTTCTTAAGATACCATGCCAAAATGTGTTCATTTAACCCATGGTATATTCATACTACTGTGCTAGGTGTAGTGTTAGGTTCATATGGAGTTTCAGAAGCACAGCATGCAACTGGAGTCTTCGGAACACTTACAAGCAAGTTGGGAAAGCAACATTTAGATGAATCAAAATTTTTAAAAAATATTCCAAAATAGTATATGGTAATAAAATGTTAAACTTCATGGTCCAGGCAGGAACAGATTTTTAGGGAACAGAGTTTCATGAGGGCCAGAACAGAAAGGGAAGTCATAAAAGTTACCAGGCAAGAAGTGACCCTTATGTAATGGCCAATATGTGGACTGGAAAAAGGAGAAAAGCATAAGTGAAATGCTCAGGGACGGAAGTGACAGGGGTATAGATGAGGGACAGATCCAATCACTTCTACCAATGACCAGTCTGAGTTTCCTATTATAAAATTTCTGACAACCCAAAAACTTCCAAGGACCAAGAGGCCCCACAAGAATGCATTCAGACAGAAGGGTAAGTCTCTTCAAGGTTACAGAAAACTTCTACTGACCACAAACATCCATGCCAAAGAGTTCTCAGGAATACAAGCACAAAAAAGGTCAACCAACCAGTCTTGGTTATACAAACTCTTTCAACTCTGTTTTAAAGTATTGCTTCAAGAGAAAAGGTTAAATGAGGTTTGAGTGCAGTGTAATAAACCTTCACTGTTCATAAAGCGCTGAGTGATAAATGTATGTATGGTTACTGTATAAAAATATTGGGGTCAAATGCCAAAGATCTCTGAGGTTAAGGTTTTTTTGCATGGATAGGTGAAGGGCCCCAAATTGTCAAATCTCAAGAAAATGGCAGCTTGTCAGTCAAAGACACAATCTGCTCCAGCTCACCAGAGAAGCCCATTCCCAAACTCCACTCAGCCAGACGTTATAAACATTCCAGCTGTGATATACAGCACATGATGGCATGTAATTTGTTTGGTTCCAAGAGACTAAGACAAGGGTTTGGAAGGTTCACTGCATTGTAAAAGAGATATGCCTGGCTGCAGGTTTTCACATTTGTAAATAAAAAATACCCTATTCCTCAATAGTACAACATCCAATGAAGAGGCATGAGTTGGTATCCATGGAATAGCTAAAAAGGAAAGATTTCAGCAGCTGCAGTGCGTACCAGTGTCCACAGGTAAAACAAGGAAGCCCTGCAACAAAGTCCTATAAAGAAAGGCAGGGTTCTGCTTAGGAGTAACTTTGGCCTATGGCATAATTTGTGCCATATGTTTTTAAACAGTAAAACTTGGACTCCCGCAGCAGTGAGGGAGTCGTGCAAAAGTATCATGGGACTCATCACTTCTGCACAACGGGGAACCCACTTTTACTTTAGATCCAACATAGGCCTTGTCATTCTCAGTAAAAACAAAAACACAACCAAAAATCCAAAAAACACCTTGGGTCACACATAAGCCCTCTTCTTTGCACCATGGAGCTGGCACAATAGAGGGGGTGGGAAAACCCAAAACCTACGCATACCAAGGGAAAGGGAAAGAAAGTACCTTCAAGTAACTGACAGCACAAAATGTGCAGAACATATATATAAAACCAAAGGTCTCTTTAGAAATCCATGGATAAGGAATCTAAATTTTGAATCCTTACTGTTTCAAAGACTAAGAAGCCCTTGCAGTTAGCAATAAAGTGTCTTGCTAACAAGTGAAGGATCACCATCTCTGCATTCAGTCCTCCTAACGCCTTTATGAGGATCTCCCCTTGTTCCAGGAGCAAAGAGATGTAATGTACTGCCCATGTTTAGACAGTTGGTAAGCCCACAGTGGGATTCCAGAGGAAGCTGTTTGACCCCACAGCCCAGGTTCCCATCATGCTTTCTATCACTTTGGCAGAGTGGTTGTAGTGGTAAGCGATACCAATTCCTCCAGCCCTGGCATGGCATCCAGTATCTAACTGATGAAAGAGGAGCAATCTGAACCACAGTGGAAAAGACAGAACAGTCCTTAGCTTCAGCTGGCTACAGTTTTCATTAAAGCCTTGGAGATAGGTTTGGAGATAAATATCATAACCCTGTATGTTGTTTATAGTTTGTTGTATGGATTTATTCTTACATTTACTATATAGTAAAGCAAATATCGTTCAGGGTTTCCACAGTCATTCTCAATTTTTCCTTTTACTGTCTTTATAAAGTCCCTCAAATATCTTAGATATTGTTATAGAGAGACACTGCAGAGTCTCTACTATTACAGAGTCTACTATAAAAGTGGACTCCCACTGACTATTTAAAATCAAGATGCAGGGGCCTAAAGTGAGATGATCAGGTATCACACTTTATAGCTGGTTTCACACTTTTGAATTTGTTTCTGGCTGTGTAAAGCTGAGCCCAAAATACTTTTAATTAATTTCTGCCTACCCAACACAAGGTCATGAAGAAATTCCCCTATGTTAGCTTTACCTTTCACATTTAAGTCCACAAGACACCTGGAATTGATTTTTGTATATGGTATGCTGTAGGAATCAAGATTCTTCTTCTTTTTTTTTTTTTCTTTTTTTACTTACGGATATCCAAGTGACTCAGTACCACTTATGAAAAGACAGTTATGTTCCCCATTGTATTGCCGCAACATCCTTGTTTTACAATAAGTATAATAGTAAGCACACTAACTTTTGATACCTGATAGCATAAACCTTCCAACTTTATGATTTTCTTAGCTATTCTTTCCATGTGCATTTCCATGTAAACTTTAGAATCAGCTTATCAATTTCCATTATAAAATCTATTGAGATTTTTACTGAAATGGCACTCAATCCATAGGTTAATTTGGGAAGAATTCATGCCTTTCCAATGTTGAGTCTGCTAATCTAAGAACATGATAGGTTTTAATTTCTCAATATTATTTTAGAGTATTCCTCATAGAGGTCTTGCAAATATTTAATCAGATTTACTGCTAAGTAATTGATCATTTGATGATGCTATGTTAAGTGGCATCACTCTTTACATTTTAATTTCTAATGGTTTGTTGCCATCTGCTTGGGATTTGACAATTTAAGGTCCTTCACAAATACATGCAAAAAACCTTAACCTAGGAGATCACTGGCATCTGATTCCAACATTTTTGTACAGTAACCGTATATACATTTATCATTCAGAATTTTATGAACTGTGGTTTATTATATTGCATGTAAAACTCAATTGATTTTTGTGATATTTACTTATTAATTCTAGTAAGTTGTCTTTGGTTCTTTTAGATTTTCTGCACACAAAATCATGCTACCTGTGAATAATGGCAGTTTTACTTCTTACTTTTTAATTATTATGACTTTTATTTCTTTCTTGCCTTGTCACACGGACTAGGTCCTCTAGGAGAATGTTGAATAGAATTAGTGAGAGCAGACTTCTTTGTTTCATTCCCAATCTTGGTGGCAATCTTGCATTATTTCACCCATTACATATGAAAATTTATGTAGATGTTTTATAAATACTCTTTACTAGAATAAGGAAGTGTATTTTATTATCATGAAAGGCTGTTGGATTTTTTCTAATGCTATCTCTGCATCTATTAAAGTGATCATATGATTTTTCTCATTTGTTCTTTTAAAGCAGTGACTTACACTGATTGATTTTCAATTGTTAAACCAACATTGCTTTCTTGAGATAAACCAAGTTAGTCGTGATGTATTTTCCTTTTTATATATTAATCAATTCAACTTGCTAATAGTTTTTTTAGTTTTGCATCAACATCCAAGATACAAAACGGTCTGTAAAACATCTCAGAATGCACTGAAAAATGTTCCATTTTCTTTCTCTTGCACCAAAGAATTGATGTAAGATTGATTTTATTTCTTCTTTAAACAATTGGTAGACTTCACCCAGAAGCCATGTAAATCTGGATCTCTGGACAAGACTATTTTCAACAACATATTCGATTTCTACAATGGATCTAATATTACTCAGATTTTTTATTTCTTCTCATGTCAGTTTTGGTAATTTGGTAATTGTGTTCTTCCAGGAAACTACCCATTTCATCTAACTTTTAAAATTCCATGGCATAAAGCTACTCTCTGCTCAACTTGGACACATGGAGTTCAGAGGACCTAGCCAACCCCCATTCTGCAGCTTGACGGAGATTACCCCGAGAAACTGCAACCCAAAGCAGAGTTGCCTTAGATGAGCTATAGGCCAATGAACAAAATGAAGGTCTTACGTGATTCCATGCTTGCTTTTTATGCAATAAATAACCAAGGTGTAATTTATTTTCTACTTAATTAATCCTCTCTTTGATTTGTGAATCTTCCGTTAAACCTAACTAATTTTAGAAATTGTATTTATCTGTTTTTAGATTTCTATTTGGCACTTTTTAATATATTCCATTTATCTGATGAAAATCTCCATCATGTCATCTATTTTCTTGAATACATTAATCAGATGTTCATAATGTCTTTGTCTAGTCACTACAATACCTAGGTAGGCATGTTTCTATTTTTATAATCTTTTTATTGTAAGATATAATTGATACAAAATAAACTACACACCTTTAAAGTGTACAACTTGATAAGTTTTGACACC